TCTTTGAGGGGGCGGCATTACATGAACCTTCTGGTAAGGCCCTCATTTCCTCATAAATAGATGGGTGGGCGGACAGACTTCTGACAAGCTAATGAATATTACAGGAGTAATATGAGCGATAAGTAAAGTCTATGAGGCAAGCTACAACACACAGGATCACAAGACTATAGACATACTGTAAACATCCATTAGGTAAAATATATTAAAAGTACAATAAAAACAATCAGTCCGTTTAAACAGATAAACTACAGAAATATTTCAGGAATACATGAAGCAGGCCATTATAGCTAAAGGTACATCAAATACTGCAGAAAGGCATAGAAGTTGACAAATGAGAATATTCTAACACCACCATGAAAATCGCTATTATTATGTAGGACAAGCAAAAATAAGCTAAAATATGATAGGGATGCAGATATAAAGACCAGAGCAAAGTTCTAAAATAATTTTAAGGAAGCACTTTGTAGTAAGTTGTGGTTCCTTAAAATTGGATATACAAAGAACTGCAACTGCATGTCCCCCAGCAGCAGACGGGCAGCTACAAAAATAGAAAAGTACAGACCTCAAGTCTGAAGGTATTTGTCCCCAACCCACCCCCAACGTTATCTGCCTCCTTCTAAAGTATCTCACGCCTTTTCCTTTCCTTTAGAAATCACAACACAAACAAGCAATCCACGTCAAGAGAAAAACAGCACAATCCGGAGTAAACCTGGCTTCAAAATGCGTTAAGTTTTGGTGGAAACTTTAAGAAGTTTCTAGCCCGAGTTACGAACACGCCGTTACTCAGAATGATTGATACACGGCTTAAGACACATAACGAGCCAGTAAACAGCCGGTAAAACCGCACAAAGCTCCGAGAAGAACAAACCGAAAAACACTTACACGAAGGAGCAGCAGCTGCAATAGACACCAGTTAGATTTTCTTCCTTTCTGTTAGAGGAGCAGCAGAGCTGAGGGCATGATGATGCAGAACAGAGACCCCACCCACCGGGAGGGGAGGGGCTTGGCGAAAGAGGAGATTTTTTTTACCACCCAAAAACATTTTTTCTTTCTAACAGTGCGGTTTTTTGGGTGTGTTTGTGTTACAGGCATGTTGCAGTGTTGAGTCTTTAAAATTTTACAAAATGGATGCAAAGATTTTACAGATTTATCTGGTTAGGCCTTCTCGGCTTTGTTGAGAAAAAGCAAGGAGATAAAATCCAACAATAGGTTCAAGTTTAGGTTCTTAGATCAGGTTTGACTTGTGTTAATTAAACATGAGTTATGAGCTTATTAGGTTAATTTAGGTTATTTTTAGGTAACCTGTAGCTAGTTTTCAAGAATTAATACAAGTCAAAGTAATTTATCTATGAACTGAAATAAACTTGTGTGTATTTCCCCATAAAGAGAAGGAAGAAAAAAAAAAGAAGCTTCAGTAATTTTATCTGTAGTTCAGTCAGCTGAAGTCTTAGAAACTTAATTGGGCTGTAATTAGCCCATATTTTAATGTCATACGTTTCATTCCAGTGGTTTTTGGCACTCACATTTATGAGTTTCTGTTCATTTTGTTTTTAAGCTGCAGATCAGACCAGGCCATAAATTTAGCTAGCTAATATATTATCACTCTGTAAACAATTACCAATAATAGTGGGACAGAGTGTTCAGCAATGTTCACTGAAGGGCTGTACTTTAAATGCTTTTAAATGTAGATGTAATTTACAATGGCATTTGGGAACTATAGGAGCCTGTGATATACTACTACAATATTTCTCAGACTGCCCTGTAATTGTTCTAGAAATGAATTCTGTTTAAATATGTTACCAGATGACTTCAGTTTCTCCTTAACCAAACTCCATTCAAACCAAACTCCATTCAAATCAAATCAAATCACTTTTATTACTTTTATCACTTTTATTTTTATTTGCCTGCTGGTGTTGGCCAGAGGGGCCGATGGCGCGATATGGCAGCCTCGCTTCTGTCAGTCTGCCCCAGGGCAGCTGTGGCTACAACCG